TCAATGAAAGTTCTCAGGTGGATAAGCTACCAAAGAACCCCTGTCTTTCCACGGCCGGGTGCCTGCCATTCTGGTGGGTAATTTGTAACGATAGTCATCAAATCACATATAAATATGTAATCAACCAAAATTATTTTTAGATAGCTCAGTTGGTTCGCATTGTCTTAATGAGGCTGACGCCCTGGGTTTCATCTCCGTGAGGGTTATTTAGAAACAGAGAAAAGCTGTTTCACACAGGCAGTCTTTACGGACACCCAGCCGTCTCACAAACGCATGCTCTTCAGGGGGCCTAGGTACTGTGTGTGACGGAGCAGTCTCATCATTTTGCTACAGTCCCTGTAGGACAAGGCCGTTACCAACCTTTGTAACCATGTGTGACCCTGCAATCTTCAAACTCAAAACTTCAATTAGCCATTAGTCTGAGAGAAGATGCCTCAGTCATATACTCAAACATTTTAATGGTCTATCTATAAGCACAAGTTGGACCACACTGCTCTCCAAATGTAAAATACTGAAGTCAAAAGAGGCTCATTTTTCTAATTGAGATCGTCAGAAAAAATAGAGGGTGGTGCCTGATTTGCCTACCTCTCCTGGGGGGAGGGGGGGGGGTGCAGCTGATGACAATGGATTCCCATTGAGCTAGCATTCGGAGATTTGCCAACCATCAGGGCAATGTCACCAGACAATGTTACACAGAAAGCACAGAAGATTACAGATTCACAACTCAGTTTCTGGCCTCAAATACAATTTTCTCCCCGTGTTTTCAGGATCCCCTCCTCCCTCCAACGCCAGAGCTGCAGGCAGTTCTCTAAATAACACCGCGTCCCTGGACTCCTAGCTCGCATTGGTACATTTCGGCAGGGCTCCTTTGAGGTCTGCCCCCCACAGCCTCCCCTCTCCCAGGCTTCTCTTCCTTTGTCTGAGTCAGCCGTGAGTCACCTCACTCATTAGCGGAACTAGAATGCCTCTCCGTCCTCTGGTCCTCTGGGTCCCTTTTGTCTCCCTTCTTGTAACTAGTTTCCTGGCAGCCTGAGGTCTGAGGCCAACCTTGAAGCTGGGGCTGGGTCCTTTACTAAGATGGTCCGGTCAGTAAAGAGGTTGGCAGACAGCAAATAGAATTAAAATGATGATGATGATAATGACAGTGATGATGGTGGTGCACACAGTTGCTTCAGAAGCATTTTAATGGCCCAATTTGGTGTGTCTGCCTGTGTCAGCTTATAGGACATCAAAGGGGTCCTTAATTCTCGGGCCCTTCTTTCTCTTCCTTGTCTCTTCTTCCCCCCACCCCTCTCCAACCCCCCTCCACACCGCACACCTGCATGGCCCACGGCGAAAGCTCACAGACCCGCTCTCTGTGGAAAGGCTGGTGAAGAGCAATGTCCTTCCGCTGGTGAGCACTACTTTCTCCAGCCTTTTCAGATTTGTTATTCTCATTTCTGCTCATTTTATTTTACACTCCCAATGATGGCCCTTTTGTGAGAGGCGGACCAGAAAGGACAAACAAAGGATTTATGCCTCGTTGGTGCCTCCTGGGCATATAGAGAAGCCTGGTGAAATGATACTAATAAGAAACTAAATTCACTGTGGAAAATATCAATACCAAAGCACGGTTATTAATGCATTCATCTCGGCTGGATGGTGACTAGTTTTCAGCAAGTCAGATGAGTGTCTTTGAAAGGGACCTCAGAGATCATCCTGTCTTTCAATCAGCAGCCATTCACCCAGCACTTACAATGAGCACACCCAGAGCCAGGCCCCGAGGGCAGTGTTCCCCAAGCTTCACTGCATGCATATCACCTGGACGGTGCATGCGTATCACCTGGACACTAGCTCAAATGCAGATTCTGGTTCAAGAGGCCTGGAGTGGGAGCTCGAGTTCTACATTTCTCTAAGCTCCCTGGGGATGCCCTCAGTGCTGCCACGAACCACCCTTTGAGTAGCAAGACTACAGGGGCTCTGCACAGAGTCAGGCAAAACTTGACTCTGTCCCAGGGGAACATCAGGGGACCCACAGGCTCTGCGATACTGCCCTATGCATTCCTCCGCCTCAGCTGCTGATATTTTATCCACGAAGCTCAGACAATGCTGACCTATTCTTCCCAATGCTCTTGGCTTTCTCACATCTTCACTCCCTGTGGAGGGTGTTAAAATTGCAAGATTTAGGTTTGGGATTAGGTCAAGGAAAAAGGCTCATTTATCTTCAACCTGGCTGTGAAGTCCAATCTAGGCCATTTTACCAGGGAGCGCTGAACTCACATTTTAGACAGAGCCTTTCTTTGATTGCTACAGAGATCTCCTTTTGTTGTTAGTTCATACCCTTCACCAATTTTCCTGTTGGGGGTCTTTGTATTTTACTTACTGAGTTATAATAATGCTTTATTAAATACTAAGGGAAATATTTTTCCCCAATAAAGATTCTTCTTAGTCTTTCACTTTTGTCTGTGAATTTTGGACTTAGGAGCCTTAGACTCTAGTCTAACATTAATATTCTTGCTAATCTGAGTAAGCCCCTTACTTGTTGAGATATGGTTCCTTTCCTGTAAATGGAGGCGGTAAAGACTACATACCTCAGAGAACTGTTGAGCATAAAAAGAAAGCACCCGTGGGAAAGGGCTCAGCAAATGTAGGGCATGAGTACTTTGTTTTCAGAGCTTACATTAACCTGAGAGTGTTATTGACCCTAGAGTGGGACGCCGCTCACTGGTGTTAACAAGAACCCATTTTGGTTTGAGAACTTTGAATTCTGGTCTAGGTTTTGGTAGTATTAACATATATAAAGTAGAGTTATATGCATAAAAGTGCTTATGCTTTCTATATTCCTTTTGCCTCCTCAACTACCCTTTCACAAGATGAATCTCCTATCACTCCTAACATGTCCAGGTAAAAAACCTCCTCATGCCCTGGACGATGTTACTCAATGGTTAGAGCATCAGCCAGTGTACCAAAGGGTCACAGGTTCGATTCCTATTCAAGGGCACATACCTACCTGGGTTGCAAGTTCGATCCTCAGCCCTGGATGGGGCCCATGTGGGAGGCAACCAATTGATGTGTATCTCTCACATCAATGTTCCTCTTTCTCTCTTTCTCTGTTTTTCTCTCTCTCTCTCTCCCTTTCATTCTCTCTAAAAGTCAATGGAAAAAATATCCTTGGATGAGGATTAACAAAATAAAGAAATAAATACATAAATACATAACCTCCTCAACACTGAATCAAATGACCTGGTTGTTCCTTGGTTTCTACATTTTTAAAAAATATATATTTTTATTGATTTCAGAGAGGAAGGGATAGGGAGAGAGAGATAAAAACATCAATGATGAGAAAGATTGATTGGCTGCCTCCTACATGCTCCCTATTGGGTTTCAAGCCCACAATGCTTGTGCCCTGACTGGGAATCGAACCATGATCTCCCGAGCCACACCAGCTGGGTAGTTTCTATATTTTCTCTCTCATCTCTACTAGAATTTTATACTTGTTAAAGTTATTTATTTATGTGGTAGATGTTATGAGTAATACTATTCAAACTATTCATGATAGGTTTGTCTAGTTTTGAGAAATAGAAAATTTATACTTTCTTCCCTAGCTACATGTTTAATGCCTTTAAGTTCTCTCACTGCCTGTTAAAAATTGTATGTTACTAGAGGTCCATGAATTCATGCATGGGTGGGGTCCAGCTGGCCTGCCCCAATCGGGGTGGAGGAGAGCTGATGGGGGGGGCAGTTGGCTGGCCAGCCCCACCCCCTGGTTGAACTCCTGATCGAACTCCCAGTCGAGGGGACAATTTGCATATTAGCCTTTTATTATATAGGATATTCAACCATTAATAGTAAAATAGCAAGTTCTGAAAACAATGTGTTTTGCCTCTAATTTTTTTTTAATGGAATCAAAGGAAAGAAACTCTAGTAGCAAAATTTTAACTGTCATTCAGGGAGATACTATTCCTCCACTATTCTTCCTATACACAAAACTGCCCTGTGGGTTCCTACACTGAGCATAGATTAAAAAAAAAAAAGTCAATTCTATTGAATCCCATTCATTTGCCAAGCATAGTGCTAAGTGCTTTCATATACATTTTCTCATCTAATGGATCTTTTGCTTTCTCACTGCAGGGGAGAAAGTGAGATTGTGTCCTTGCTTTGCTGCCTTCTCTACTAGAGTCCTTTCTCCTCCATGTCTGTATAAGTCTTACTCTGGTAGGAAGGGAACTGAGTTTGAGGCAAAATTTATTCTTTTTTCATCTTATCCAGGTCCATGCAAAAAGTTGGTTGGCTTCTCATTTCTGGAAGATGAGAGCTGTGTTGGTTCAGGAAAAAGTGACTGGAACAGGGCTGAAGCCCAAAAGCTGACAGTACATCATTCTAAGTATCCACAGGGGTGAGCACCTACCTCTGTGAGAGGTCTTCCTTCTTCTGGCTTCTTTCCCAGGTACTCCATTGAAATCTCTGGGGAAAGGGTCCTCATACATCCTACTTCCCCTTTGATTTAGTTCTTTATCTATGAACACATGTTCCTTCCCCCTGCAAAAAAACCCCAAACCCTCCTGAAGGAACATGATAGACCTTATCTACTCTTGAGATTATCTGCCATGTTCTCCTCTTACCATGGTTCCAAATCTTGGACTCCACTAAGAAAAACAGCCTGAGTGAAGTTGCATAACCAGTGAGAAAGGAATCTTCCCTGGACAATGAGAGGAGGGCTGATCCACTGTCTCAGCTCTTAGGTATGGCTCTCCAGCTGCTGACTGAAGCCCCATGGGTTTAGCCATTGAGGCCAGCAGGGACCTCCCCAGTAACTAACAAAAAGGAAGCAACCAGGACTAGCAGAGCTGAGCTGTGGTAACTGTCCCATTTGTAAAGGTGTCCCCAAGGACAGTGGCCAGCAGTCCACGTCGCAATGTCCTGGCAGCGTAGCAAACTCAGAGATGATCCAATCTAGGGATGAACGGTGCCCAACAATGAAAGACTCTGAGAAAAGATATGCTTATAATCAGCATGCGGTGACATTTTTTATTTCAGAAGCTTATTCTTCATCCTTTCACTTGTATAGCGGACATTTGAGTGAATATGCTAGGCACTGAGCTAGAGGTGGGCACACTCTGCCCGCTGGGAGTTGACAGTTCAGCAGAAAGGGAGTAAACAAAGGAGCTGTAGGAGGACTTAGAAGAGGGATTTAAGATTCAAGAGGCAGGAACGTTTCCCCAAGAATTTGTGAAAGACTGATGTAGAGGGGGAGGAGGCAGAACACTCCAGGTAGAGGAGGAAGCAGTGCAAAGTCAGAGAGAAGAGAGAACAGGTGGCTCATTGGAGAAGGAATGAGGTTTGGTGTGGCTGAGATCAGACTATGCAGCAAAAGGGGCAAGAGATAGTCCTGGAGAGATGAGCAGGGGTCAGATTATAAGGGTACAATCTTATGTGTCATGCAAGAGGGCCCTAGGGCCATGGGAACCACGAACTGACTCCCTGTTGGGGAAGGACGTGTCAGATCTGCTTTTCAAGGAAATTTTCTCACTGGTTGTAATGGGGAGATTGGATACAAGGAAAGCGAGTGTTGAAGTAAGAGGACCTTGCAATTACTGAAGAAGGAAATAACATGGGCCTGAACTATAACGGAGCCAGTGACCCTACCATTGCCTTGAATATCAGTGGTGGAAGCTCAGGGCAGCTCCGTGGCATTGGGGACTCTCCAGGTGTATCCCAAAGGAGCCGGAAAAACAATTCCAGACCCCACCAGCTGAGAGGATGGAGCTCCTAACACAGGCCCTTACTAAGAAGCCTGGCTGATTAAGACTGAATCTGTGCAGGACTGAGGCTGCAGATGAGAGGGCTTCAGAACCTGCAGCCAAGCAGGGTCTGACAAGCAGTTTCCATGGAGACATGGTGTATGCGAGAGGGAGTGAGTAGGAGGGCTGATCCATTCCGGAGCCTGGGGTCAGCAGGCTGTGGCGGGCTAACAGATAAACAGGAAAAAGACATAGTCAATCAGAAAAGGATATTCCAAACTAGCAGTAGTTAATTGGGGTTATATCGCCCTAATTCTCGATTAAGTCTAACAATCTAGAAGGATTAGAGTAAGCCACTTAATGATCTTGCTGGTTATTTCAGGTACCACTTAATGAGGGCACAGGGAAGTGGATGCCAACTCAGGCTAACTCCAAATGTTATACACTCACCTTAAGCCTTTCTGCATCCCTGTACGCTAAGTAGCTACATATCATTGTCAAGTTTCTGGAGAAACAGGCAGAGACATAGGAAGTTTTATATATATATTAGAGGCCCAGTGCACCAAATTCATGCATGGGGGGGGGGGAGGATCCCCCTCAGCCTGGCCTGTGCTGTCTCGCAGTCCGGGAGCCCTCAGGGGATGTCTGACTGACACAGAGGAGGGAGAGGCTTCCACCAGCACCGCTGCATTCACCAGCCATGACCCCAGCTCAGGGCTTCTGGCTGAGCAGCACTCCTCCTGTGGGAACACACTGACCACCAGGGGGCAGCTCCTGCATTAAGCGTCTGCCCCCTGGTGGTCAGTGCACATCATAGCGACTGGTTGTTTCACCATTCAGTTGATTTGTATATTAGCCTTTTATTATATAGGATATATATATACTAGAAGCGTAATGCACGAAATGCATGCAAAGGCCTTGGCCTCTGCCATGGTGGCCGGGGACCTCTGCCGCCTCTGCCTCGGCCCCTCCCCACAATGGCTTTGTCCGGAAGGAAGGATGTCCAGTCTAATTAGCATATTATGCTTTTATTATTATAGATATTTTTTATTTGCCATGCTGATGGCAGTAATACTCAGGAAACCTTGGGAGCTCTTTGAGGAAACTCAGGTGCTGGCAAAGTCCTAGATTAGATGGTATTGTTAAACATTTTGAGGACTATTCTGGACAGAGAGTAAGCAGCAGTGGGGTCCAGTGTGTGTGTGTGTGTGTGTGTGCGTGTGTGTGTGTTAAAATATACATACAAGCACTGGCTGGTGTTCAGTGGTTAGAGCATCATTCAGCACATCAAAAGGTCATGGGATCGATTCCCAATCAAGGACAGATACCTAGGTTGCAGGTTCCATCCCTGGCCCTGGTCAGCATACCTGCAGGAGGCAACCAATAGATGTGTCTCTCTCACAGATCTCTCTTTCTCTCTCTCTCTCCCTCTCTTCTTCCCTCCCTCCATTCCTCCACTCCTCCCTTCCACTCTCTGTAAAAAAAAAAAAAAATCAATGGGAAAATATCCTTGGCAAGGATTAAGAAAGCAAATAAATATCTATAATAATAAAAGCATAATATACTAATTAGACCAGACAGCCAAACAACCTTCCAGATGTTCTTCTGGACAACCTTCCGGACAAAGCCACAGCTGCGAGGGCCGAGCCCCTTGCAAGAATTTTGTGCATCAGGCCTCTTGCATATGTAATAAAGTTTACTGTTTTGACCATTTTTAATTGTGTAATTCAGTGGCATTAAAGTCTCTTCATAATATTATGCAACTATCAAAACTATATCTAGCCCTAACAGGTTTGGCTCAGTGGATAAAGCGTCAGACTGCGGACTCAAGGGTCCCAGGTTCAATACCGGTCAAGGGCATGTACCTTGGTAGCGGGCACATCCCCAGTAGGGAGTGTGCAGGAGGCAGCTGATTGATGTTTCTCTCTCATTAGTGTTTCTAGCTTTCTATCCTTCTCCCTTCCTCTCTGTAAAAAATCAATAAAATATATTTTTTTAAAAAACACAAAAAAACCCCAACTATATCTAAAACTTTACTTATCATTCAAAACAAAAACTCTATAACCATTAGGCAATAACTTCCATTAGGGTGGGCCCAAAATGTTTTAAACAACTTTATTATGCTGTGGTAACTCTGCCTACCAGGCAGGATGATGGTTTGGCTCCTGCAAATAAGCAAACTGTGTTGATCTTTGGTCAGTTGCTCTGATTCAAACCTGGAGTTTTTTGGCCAAAGAATCCTTGTGCTGTGGGTGGATTTGTTAAACCTAATCTCTGGAGGGATTTTAATGACTGATGAGACTTATTAACCTTGATCTCCAAGGTATCCAAATGGCTTGTGACAGTGCTTTATTAAGAAGTCTGTAAAAATTACGTAAGGGATACAGGTCCTCATAAAAATCCTACTGGAGGCAAGCTTTGTTCCAAAATTCAAACTTTTTGGTAAAATTCAACAGTGAAGTCACTTTGGGACTAGGCTTTTCTTTGTAGGAAGTTTTAAATTCATAACTCAATAATTTTATTTGTTATAGGTTTATTGTGATTATATTGGGTGGCTTTGTCTTTCAAATAATTGGTCCATATTATCTAAGTTATGTAATTTATTGGCATAGAGTTGTTCATAGTATCCCCCCACACACACACTTTTTTTTAAGTATCCCCCCTTTTTAAGTATAATCTTTTTTATTTTTGTGGGGTCAATAGTAATGTGCCTTTCTTTTTTTTTTCTGATTTTAGTATTTTAAGTCTTCTCTCTTTTTTTTTCTTGGCCAGTCTAGCTAAAGCCCTACTATAAGTTTTATTGATCTTTTTAAAGAACCAACTTTTGGGTTTCTTCATTTTCTCTATTGTTTTTCTCATTCTTTGTTTTATCAATTTCCTCTATTATCTACTATTTCCTTTATTCAGGTTTAGTTTGCTCTTCTTTTCCTAGTTTCTTAAAGTAAAATGATAGGTTATTGATTTGAAATCTTTCTCTTTTTTAAAATAAAGTTATCTACAGCTATATATTTCCCCTCTAAGAACTGCTTTGATTCATTCCATAAGTTTTAGTGTTTTGCTTCCATTTTAATCTTAAAGTATTTTCTAATTTCCCTTATAATTTTTTGACCTATTGGTTATTTAGGAGTTTATAGATGAATATCCACATACTTGTGAAATCATCAAATTTCCTTCTCTTATTGATTCTAATTTCTTTCCATTGCGGTCAAAAGTCATATTTTGCATAATTTCATATCTTTTAAATTTATTAGGATTTGTTTTATAACCTGGGATATTGCCTAACCTGGAAAATAGTCCGTACTCACCTGAGAAGAATGTGTATTCTGTTGTTGATGGGTGGAACATTTTATAGATAGATGTCTGTCAGGTCTATTTAGGTTATAGTTTTGTACAAACTATATAATACATTGTTATAAAATACAATTTTATACCTTTTAAAGAAGTTGAGAAAAAAAGAAAAGTAAATTACATTTAGAGTTTGTTATATCAACCTTCTTATTTACCATTTCTGGTTCTCTTCATTTGTTCCTATGGAATTGAGTTATCATCTTGTAACTAATTTCTTACTCAAATTCAGCTTTGTTCTCATACACCTCCTTTGTGCTATCATTGTCAAATATATTCTTGCATAAAACTGCTTTTTAGATTATTTTAGAAATGAGAAAAAATATACATTGATATACTGTCTTTGATAATACATAATTACATTTACCAGTGATCTTTGATCTTTGTGTGTGGATTTCAATCACTGACTAGAGTCACTTGTGTTCAGCCTGAAGAACCTCCTTTTTTCTTGTAACTTTGGTCAGCTAGCAATGAATTCTCTCAGATTTTGTTGATCTGGGAATGTCTTTATTTTACTTTTATTTTTGAGAGACAGTTTTACTAGATAAAAGCTTCTTACTTGACAGGTTTTTGGGTTTTATTTTCCCTCCCAGCACTTTGAATATACTATTTCAATGTCTTCTGACCCTTATTGTTTTTGGTGATAAGTCAGATGTTAATCTTATTTGGCTTCTGTTGTATGGAATTAGCTTTTTTTTTTCTTGCTGTTTTCAAGGTTTTTCTCTTTAACTTTCTCTTTCAACATTTTTACTAGGATGTGTCTATTTTATCTATTGAGGTTAGTTGAACTTTTTGAATGTGTAGATTAATGTTTTTCACCAAATTTCACCAAGTTTTCAGCCAGTATTCCTTCAGATATTTTTTGGCTCTTCTCTTCCTTTTCTGGTACTCCATTATGCATACGTTAATGTGCTTAATGGTATCTCATATTTTTTTGAGGTTCTGTTCATATTCTTCTTCTTTCTCTCTGCTCTTAAGGTCAAATAATATCTATCTATATATCTATCATCTATCTATCTATCTATCTATCTATCTATCTATCTATCCATCCATCCATCTGTCTTCAAGTTGGCCACTTCTTTCTTCTGCCAGGTCAGATATATTATTGAGCTCTTCTAGGGATTTTTTTTCTGTTATTGTACTTTTCAAATTCACAGTATTCATTGGGTTCTTTTTTTTAAAAAAAAAAACATATCTCTTTAGTAATTACCTTATGAGACATTGTCATTATGCCTTCTTTTGCTTTTTTTTTTCTTGTTAATCCACACCTGAGGACATTTTTCCATTGATTTTTAGAGAGAGTGGAAGGGAAGGGGAGACAGAAACATCGATGTAAGCAAGACACATTGATTGGTTGCCTCCCACATGCACCCTGCCCAGGGCCAAGGATTAAGCCTGCAACTGAGGTATATGCCCTTGACCAGGATGGAACCTGGAACCCTTCAGTCCACTGGCTGATGCTCCATCCACTGAGCCAAACCATCTTGGGTTTCTTTTGTGTGCCTTTTAAATCCTCACCTAAAGATATGTTTCCACTGATTCTAGAGAGAAAAGAAGAGAGAGAGAGAGAGATGTGAGCGAGAGACATCAGATGCCTCCCACACACACCCTGACTAGGGATTGAATCGCAATCTAGGTATGTGCCCTCATTGGGAATTGAATCTGAAACCTTTTGTTGTATGGGATGATGCTCCAACAAACTGACCCATCCAGCCAGAGCTTCTCTGGCTTCTTTATGCATGGTTTTCTTTAGTTCATTGAAGATATTTATAAAGCTGCTTTGAAGTTTTTGCTAAGTTGAGGACCTGGGTCCTCTTACAGGGAATTTCTGTTGATTGCTTTTTTCCATCCATGTATAAGTCAGAAAACACTTTTCTGTTTCTTTGCAGGTATAATAATTTTTTTGTTATGTACTGGACATCTATATATATAAAAGCCTAAGCAACCAGCCAACTGGCCGACCATTTGACCATCTGACTGGTAGCTATGACACGCACTGACCACCAGGCGGCAGACGCTCAATGCAGGAGCTGCTGAGCTATGGTGACTTGGAAGCTGCAGTTCTCTGGTGATGCACCCAGAACCAGAGAGAAGGAAGCCCATTTCTGGAGTGCATCACCTGAGAACTGCCCTCTTGCAATCCGGGACCCCT